TGTTGGATTTTTAACAGAATCTAGAAAAAAAAGTCTCCCGGGGGGGCATGCCCCCGGACCCCCCTAAAGGGGCTGTGTTCCCCTTAGGGCTAAGCCCCCCTTGTTCTTGAAACCTAGTGACGCCCCTGGGTCACATTAGGATTAAGTAGAAGCGATAAGTAGTGTACAGTCCAGGGGGCGGCAACCCAAAATGTTGAAAGAGCCATATAGGACAAAAAAACAAACAAAAAACAAATATGTCTGGAGCCGCAAAAAATAAAAGCCTTCTATAAAACTTACCATGAAGGAAACACATGCTGTATGTACTGTATGTAGTAGGCTGGACTGTCTCAGAATTGTTTATGTTATTCATTCTTTTGTTGTGTGTTCACAAACGCTGCATAGAATTTATTTTGTAATTTCCTTGCTTGATTTTTTTTTTTTTTGGTGCATTGTTTTCGCTTTTCTTAGTGTCAACGAAGTGATCATTAATTTCCGTTTTTCTGAGGCTGTCTTTGAACGCCTCTCGAGTTGAAAGAGAAGAGAGAAGGCATGAAGTCGGACCCAGACTGTCTGTTTTTGTTGAGACTGTTAAAAGCATAAATAAAGTGTACGTTTTAAAAAAAACAACACCACAGCTCTCCTTTTTCGGAGCTGCAACATGTATCTATATCTATTTGAGCTATGTAGCCTACTATCAAAATCTTTTTCCATTTTCAAACAGAGCTATGTGGTGTTTACCAGGTTGTAGAGACTGCTGTGTGGATCATTTACTATTGGAGTGTCAGTACACAGAATACAGAGTAGAGTGGAGGGAAAGAGAAAGAAGACATATTTTTAAGGAAGATGCAATATTGAACGATATGATTAGATCTTGTCAGAGTTTTTCTCGGACAAAGTTAAAGAAATGACTCGGCACACAGGGAAAATTGAGGGATCTCTGAGAGTGAACGACGGTTGTTGCCCTGATGATCACACACTCTCCAGCTCCCTTCCCGCCAATTCAGACTTTTATTGTAACATACAAGGAAAACACTGCCCCCGACACACGGCCCCTCGGTAGTGATTGGTTACCTGAGTTTAAGCTTTGAACCTCCGGTACGTTGACGCCTTTCTGTCTGGTCTACAATGTATCAACCAACATGTTGCAGACTTTGCGGACGACAAATGTCGCCTGGGCGCGACGGGTGTTCTCAAACCGTCTTTTGTTGTTCAACTGCTGTTCCCGAATTCTTCATTCCCCCTTTGTGACCGAGTCTAGCCCTCTCTCCTCTGATCGCCCACCTGCATTGAGGTGCTAATTGTGGACTTCAACAGCCCTCCGGCCAGGTGGCCGGCGCCTTTGTGCACAGGCATTTGGGGGTGCCGGATACGCACCCAAATGTTTAGACGTGCCCCAATTAAATGAAACTTTAAACATGATACAATTTTGTTCATAGATTCCTCTAACATTCCCACCTCTGTATCATAATTAAAGTTTCGTCAAACGCCTAGGTGACATTGATATGCAATTGCACGGGTGGGAGGAAAAACTGTTCTCCGGTGTAACAAGATCAGGACAGAAAACCCTTCCCGGGCAATGGCTACACATTAAATGAAAATCAAAACAAAACTAACTATTAACTATCTAACTAACTACTATATACAAAGTAAGCCAACCCAAGAACATCAAACACTCACATCCGTAATGCTTTTCTGTGAAGTCATCATACGAGCTTACATAAGGTTACAGTGAATCAATCATCGAAATCAGTGTTAAAATAATCTTCGTCGGACTCCGTGTGCACCTGTTGGTACTCCGACATGGCCACAGTTAGCTGAGCCGCCACTTCACTTTGACAGCATGTATGAATTTGGCAGCACAACCTCTGACCAGCGGGATCCCGCAAGCGACACGAAAACAGGAAAATAAAAATATACCAACAATCGTCTCCTGCCTCCCGACGTCGAATCCCATGAGGCAAGTCACTCTTTTCGTGGGCCTGTGTGCCCAGTGTGACTGCTCTTAGGCCCATGAGGATGATGCCAATGATGCTGGTGATGCATAGGCAACGCTCGACTGCCCTTCCTGTGGTCTTTTTTGAGAGGGTTGCGTTTTACCACGGAAAACCCTCTCTCCCACTGTGGTCTTTCGACGGCACGCAAGATCAGTGCACTTGGACTTAGGTGCTGATTCTCCTTCCTGGGACTGGCGTCGCTAGGCCCCTCAACCTCGAACCGAAGGAGCTTGCACTGCGACTGGTGGATCGAGCCGTCGC